ACAAGTAGAAAACTTTTTATCACTTTTTCTTAAAGAGAAGGATTCTGATTTCTCAAAACCTGAGTGAGCAAAACAGCATATACTTGTGTGTTGGTAAAGCATCATGTATCAATGTGTTCACTTGCAATATGCTCACTTCCTTCTTTCCATCTCTGGCTTCATGGGCTGTTTTCTTTTTTTGTGTGCTGAAGACTTAGTTAAAGCTACATCTGGCCTTGATTCAACAAAGATTTAAGCACATACTTAGAATTAAACACTTCCATTGCAGATTCCACTTTGTGAACTCCTAGATATTTGCTTCTGCTCTCATACTGTGGAGTGTCTCTGGTGAATATTCTGAGACCGGAACAGTCTCTTTCATTATGGTATATTTTTTAGTTTCAGTCCTGCTGTCTTTTTAGAAAGCAGCTGTATTCTCCAACTTAATTGAATTCACAAATTAAATCCCAGTTGCCTCTGTAATTCATTGCTCAAACTCTTCTCTTTCCTCTGCTGCTTTTCTTCACATAGGATCTTGCTTTTTCTCCTAAGAGAAATAGATACCGTATCCTCTTCTTTCGGTCCTTTCTCCTCCACTGTCAGAGCAGCAGAAGTTTCTTGTCTACTTTCCATCTGTACCCCCTCCACTTGCCCCAGTGACCCCATGTTCTGTTCTTCCTCTTATTTCTTCCCTCCCTTATTCTCTTTCTTAACCTCTCACTGTCCTCTGGCTCTTTTCCACTTGCAATATAAGCAAGCATTTGCCTCTTAAAAATTGCACCTTTGACCCTACTTGGTTCTTCATATCATATCTCATCGCCTATCTCTTCTTCATTCCTAACTCATTGAAGGCGCTGTTTATAATTACTGTCTAGAGACCCTCTTCTGTGATTCCCTCCTTTAACTCCTACACTTTGGCTTCTGTTCCTTGCTTGCAACTGCAACAACTCTCACCAAACTCCCTGATGACAAGATCTCGGAAACAGTAGTCTCTCCTCATTCTTCTTGATTTGTCAGTAGTGTTTGCCACAGTTGACCAGACTATTCCTTTAACTTGTGTCTTCTGCTGTTCTCTGTGGCTCTGTTTTGGTAATTTTCTTCTTTCCAAGCAGTTCTGCAGAATGCCCTTCAAAGTTGTTTCCCATGTTGGAGTCGAGTCATGTGGGTGGAGGTCATGGGGCTCTGTATTCTCTTGTGATTTTAATGCCCTTTGGGTTCTTTCATACCCAAAAATAAAAGAAAAATGTAACAGACAAATTTATGTGTAGATAACAGATCTGCCTTTGTATTGAAACATATTTCCTCACACATGCACTTAATGGTTTGGAAACACACAAATGCAATTACGAAACATCCCACACAGCACTGCCTTAATTCTAGATTTCCTGGCAAATACTCAGACCAGACACATGATTATTTTCTCTCTTTCACACAGACATCGTGTTTTCACATGCTAGGCACTCTGTACACCCACTAGCAGTACTCAGTGCTTGCCTGCCTATGTTCCAGCTTGCATGTAGTTTTCTGCAACTGACTCAAATTGTATTTCATTTCCTGTAAGAATACAGCAAGACCTTTTCAAAAAGAGTTCCACAGGGCTTCATCTTAGGTCCTGTGTTCTTCAGCATTTTCATAAATGACTTGGACACAGGACTGGAAGGGATACTAAGCAAGCTTGCAAATGATACGAAACTGTGAGGAGCTGTCAACTCCCTCGAAAGCAGGGAGGCCCTGTAGAGAGACAGTGACAAATTAGAGGGCTGGGCAATCACCAACCATATGAAGGGAATGTCCCACATTCTGCCCCTGCGATGGGGCAAGCCTGGATGTATGGACAGACTGGGGAATGAGATGCTGGAAAGCAGTGCCCAGAAAGGGACCTGGGGGTCCTGGTCAATGGCAGGTTGAACATGAGTCAGCAGTGCTCTGGCAGCCAGGAGGGCCAACCCTGTCCTGAGGGCATCAGGCCCTGCATTGACAGCCAGGCAAGGGAGGGGATTGTCCTGCTCTGCTCTGCACTGGGGTGACCTCAGTTGTCTGCGGTTTTGGGTGCCACAATACAAGAAAGATTTTTGTGAGCATTCAAAGAAGGGAAACAAAGATGGCAAAGGGCCTGGAGGGGGAAGTTGTATGAGGAGCAGCTGAGGTCATTTGGTCTGTTCAGCCTGGAGGAGACTGCAGGGAGAGCTCACTGCAGTTACAGCTTTCTCATGAGGGCAAGAGGAGGGGCAGGCACTGATCTATTGTCTGTGGTGATCTGTGGCAGGACCTGAGGGAATGGCCTGAAGTTGTGCCAGGGGAGATTTAGGTTGGATATCAGAAAAAGGTTCTTCACCCAGAGAGTGGCTGGGCACTGGAACAGCTCCCCAGGGCAGTGGTCACAGCACCAGCCTGACAGAGTTTGAGAAGCATTTCAACAATGCTCTCCGGCACATGGTGTGACTCTTGGGGATGGTCCTATGCAGGGTCCAGGAGCTGGACTCAATGATCCTTGTGGGTCTCTTCCAGCTCAGCTTATTTGGTGATTCTGCTATTTTATGTCCTCTATTAAAAATGCTTATTGTGATGTATGTCTGAAGTGCACTTTGCTCTTTTATAGCTGAAGTTTAAGTATTTTGCTTTCAAATTTAATGTTATTGTCACATCTCTACTTTTTATTCCAACTTATTAGGTGAAAATATTAGATAAAATTCTGCCAAGCTCATTCTTGATGAACTCTACTGAAAATTTGTTTTTTCATTCTTCACAGGACTTTGTTGTCTCTCTGGTAGGAAGAGAATTTTCCTGTCAAATTCTTTTAGTAATCCCTGTTTTCTCCAGTTTAATATTAAATATCAGATGCCCAGATAGATTATATCTATCATATTTTCCTTGTTTAAAATGTCAGTCTAGTTGCAATGGTGTAAGTATGCAGAGAGTTCATAATCTCAAACAGATTTGTGTATTGTAGCAGGCGGATTCCTCAGGTCACCACATACTTTCTATACCCCAGCAGGCCCAGCTGAATTATGTGAGCTCAGGCAAGTTTCTGCTCTCTGGTGTGAACCACAGGGAGTATTCTGTTGTTCTCTAGATACCTTTTGGCCTGCTTTTACTTTTGTTTGCCCTACTCCATCCCAGATGTCGTTCATGCCACATTATCACTACCAAATGCATGTCTTCTTGATCTAACATATGCAGCCATTAGGAACCTGTGAAGATATGTAAGTAAAGGGAACATGTGCACATATGTACTATATGTTTTGCATTTACTTAGTATTTAGTACTGTTCTTAATCACTTCATAAAAAGTGCTGTGGCTGATATTGAAAATAATTTCAGTAGGTGTATGCAGTCACTAGCTCTAGGCACTGTAGTGTTATGTAAAAAGCAATCCCTTGGGTCTGAAATTCTTCACGCTTAGTTTCATTTGAAAAACTGTGTGCATAAAAAAAATTAAGGAAATTATCCTGAATTGCTTTCAGTTCTGTGTCACTGAAAATCAGGACAGTGTTTAACTGTTAACAGTAGCTACATTATCTTTAATGTAGATATGAAAATTCAGAATTTTGGAATTTAAACAGAGGCATCTAAATTGGGGCTGTGGCCAAGTTTCAAAAACCTGGTTTTCATAATGACATATAGATAATTGAAATCATGCCTAGTAGGCATCTGGATTAAAATTATGAGCAGGATGTAATGGACCCAACCACTTTTGTGGAAACAAAATTCATTTCCATTTCTTTGTCAGAGCTAATCAAGCTCTTTTTAGATTTAAGGTTGGCTTCATTCTTACTGTTACTTCTAGTAACATGCCTTCATATAAGGGATGGAATATGCTCTATGCATTAAAATATGGACATTTTTTTCACAATTTGTTTTTGCCTGTTACTGATCCTAATTTCACATTCTATCAATCAGTTTCTCCTTCAACTGCAAAGAAACAATACATCCTTTACCCCATGGACCTTGACTACATACAAACTGGCATCTGTTCAATCCCTTTTGCATTATACAGTGTATAATTTTACATTATATCCTTCAGTGTTGAGCGAAAGGGAATGATGGGAGATCGATGAAGGCTCTTGTTCTCCTATTAAGCAGTTGAGCAACCTCCCACTGGGACTGGGGCTCTGCAGGCCTCTGAATATGTTGTAAATCTTTTAAAGTCACACTTTTTATTTTGACTGGATGTTTCTGGTTAGTTTAATCATATTCCTGATAAATTTAAGATAAACAATTAGAAGTTTAATTAGAATTTCATGGGTCTTAATTGTCATTAAAAAGAGGATATTTAAACTGAATTCTATGCTAATAGAGCATTAGGGCTGAACAATGGAAGTTTGGTTGTGGCTTTCAGTTTTTGTTCTTTGTGGAGCCAATAGCTGCTGAGGGACACAGTTTGGCTTCTCAGTTTCTTCTTGTCCCAAGGCATGCCTAAATTACAGCTTGCAATGGAGCTATAATTCTTCTGGGGCACTGGGAGAGAAATGCCAGTACAGAGAGAGCGTGAAAGCTTCCCCATTCACCACAGTTCTGATGACTTATGTCCTCATTACAGTTCTGATGAGATGGTGGGGTTGTCAGAAGTATTCTGTGTCCATGGTTGCTCACTATGACGTGGATAGTAGTACAAGCAAGAAAGTGATATCTTTCTCTGAATACTTCGTGAGGGCAAGGCAAGGCCAAGTTTCAGCTGACTCTTGCAACTTCAGCTGGAAATACCAAGAAAAACCAAGTCTCCTGCAACATTGTAAACTTGGCCACCTTGGCAGTTCTTTACAACTTGTAACATATATTGAGCATAAATAAAGATTTGCATTGCTGTTCTGTGATCTGAAAGGAAAATTGATAAACCTTCTGTTGTCATCTGATGTAATTTTAACTTTTCATTCAAATCTTTATTGTACATTGATTGGTTTATGTGTTCAAAATTATATTTAATCTATTTTTTAATGTAGTGTGGATGAAAATATATATATTTATATACACACATATATATATACATATAAACCAGAACGTTGTGTGTTCTTTTTGTTATAGGTATGTGTCCTGTGCCTTGGGATGCCCATATGAAGGAAACATTGTACCAGATAAAGTGGCAGAAGTAAGAATTAATTTCTGGCTTGTCTTTTTAATGAATCAAAAATACATTTAAAAATGTCTATAAGTAATTCTCTCTACTTAACCATAAAAAGATCTTTAATGGATAAAATTTAAGGAAAACAAGCAAAAAACCTAATACTAAAACTTGGTGCATAACCTCACTTAACCATATACAGTCAAATGTGAGAAAAATAGCATATTTTGATTGTTATCAGTCATGAGAAAAAATATTATGCACTATTTCATCTAACAAGAAGGTAAGAAATTACTTAAGAAAATAGACTCAAGTACATATGTCAGTGGACTATGTTGTACAAGAGGGTTTTCTGCTCAGCTTTTTGCTTTTTAAATTCATTTTATACGGGAATAAGCACACTGTGTTGTCATTGTGCTTCTAGTGAGGGTCATGTGATTGACATGAACCAAAACTCACCCCCACTACGATTTCTTAAATTGCTCTAGTGCCATGATGGAGTAAGTTGCACCTTCCCTCCTTGCCCCTGTTCTCCCTTTAGAATATAGGATAAGGGGGAAGATATCTTAGTCCAGCCCTTTTTCCAGAAGAGAGATGAGTGAAACAGAAGTGTTAAAATTTTGCAGGAGGGCAGAGAAGGCATCAAAGCTTAAATGGACTGGAAAAAAAAGAAAGTGGAGTAAAAATTCCAGGACATTCTTAAGACAGAACGTGCTGGCCTTCCACCTAGAGACAGACTTGTCTTCTCTGTTACACTTAATCACCTGTTTTTGTTGATCTAGCAGAATATGCAAACCATTATTTTTTAATTTGTGGCACTAGCAAATAGTCAACATTTGTATGATATATTATGTTCTTTGTGGGTGGTTTTCGGGTCCTATTCTCCTGCATCTTCTTCTAGTATACACTCTAGATGAAATTTGTGATAATACTTCTCCCACAGCATCCACACATACTCAGACTCTGAAAAAAAAAAAAAAAAAGCTAATTTGGAAGATAGTGTTTCCAAATGGATTTATTTTAATATGAAGTGAAGGTTAGAAATGACACAGCTTTAGTTAGAGCAGTGATGACATACTGCTTACCATGTTCCCCAACAGGCTTCTTTCCATTGCCTGTTTTTTACTGACTCTCCTTGCACAGAAGAGCTCTTTCTCAGTTTGCCAGTGGGATTGCTATTTAATCTTCTAGACCTGCAAACTTTTGCTCACACAGCTATTTTATTTTCTATCTTCATCCTAATAAATGTCTTCTTGCACACCTGTATACCACTGTGTATGTGTTCATGAATAAAAACTACCACATTAAATTTATTAATTCCATCTCTGATTCAGCTATCACTGCTGTATATATAGAAGCATCTGATAACTTTTATATAGATACATGCACAGAATCAGCATTACAAAAATTACTACACTCTTTGAGTTGCTAAACTCTTTCAGAAAGCTGCTGCTCTGGTCATCATCTTTTTGGGATGGGAGCATTTTGACTCCTTTGACTGTGTATTGCAATCAGCAGCTATGATTGAAAGGTTTAGACAGTTTCTCCTGCAGTCAGTAACAGTGACCGTTTTCATTTTTTTTTAAGCAAAATATTTTTTAACTGAAGCAAAAACAATCATAAGAGGTGGATTATTTCAGACTACATGCATTATTACAGATTGTTGCAGACTACATTAATTTCTGGAATACTAGATACGTAACTGCTTTACACAAAGTTATTGAGTGAGTGCAAAATTCAGTTGCCTTCAGACTTCTGGAATCTATCAGGTATATTTGTATGGTTCGTTATTTAAAACAAACAAACAGTTTTCATATCCTAAAATAAATTGCCTAGTCTTATCTTATTGCTCTGCTGATTCTTGAAAGGAAGTCACTGCTTAACCATTTATCATTTTGTGGTTTGAGTATTTCAACTTTAGGCAGATAAAGCTTGAAAGTTTTCAGAAACACTGTATAACATCCTTGAAGCCAGTTGTATAATCCATTATCATATAATTCCATCATATACTTGGCTGGTTTTGTCTTTGTGTCTGCTTATTTCTTTCCTTAGCTTCCTTTTAACCTAAAGCAGTGAATTCATTAAATTAAATATTGTCCAGGACACATTCTGATCAAACTATAGGAAACGTATCTACTGTTGTTTGAATATTATTGGATCATTAAAGTTTCCCTTACAGCACAAGAACTGCAGGGGTTTTTTTTGATTGTTAGTTGCTTAAAATAATTATAACTCAATTATTGACTTTTGTGTTCAATATAGGAGTATAGTGTTCGATATTATTTCCAGGAGTAGGACTGTTCACGTGCCTAAGAGGTTGCAGTGCTGGTTCCCCAATTCCCATTTGATCAATGCTTGGTGTCAAGCAGCGTTTCCAAAGGGAGCAGCACAAGACTCATATGCATAGCAAAACTGCTCAGTGGAGCAGCACACAACCCTGTTCAATCAACAAAGCTGAAAGCTCATAATCACATCCTGATTACATAGAAAAAACAGTGTGTTCTCTTCTCCCACACTCTGCTCCCAAAAATCCACTTAGAAAACTTACAAAGCTATAACTAACAAGCTGCCTTCTACTATGGTATAATAGAAAATTCAGTACAAAAACTCCCATTCAGCTTCCAAGCTATAAATTAAATATAAATCTCTTTTTCAGTTTAGATCGTGACGAGTCAGTGGTGATGCTCAGCTTCTTCTATCCTCTCTTCTTCCATCTTTCAGAACTCTGCATTAAGGAAAGACCTAAGGACTGAGTATGAAAAAGAAGTGAATGCAATATGATTTCTAGCAATTTATATAGTCCAAGTTATGACTAAAATGCTTACCTAGAAAAACTTTGACTCATGCATTAAAAAGAAGAGAGGGGAAAATGCAGTACATTTCTTTGCCCTGATCTTGAAGAAACACTAAGTTTTGGGATTTAACTGAACGTAATCCACTGCTAACTGCAGATGATCTTTTTTCTTTCTTACAACAGTAGTCTAGTTAAAATGCTTGCCATGTGCTGATGATATAAAAATATGCTGTGAGATGAATCCCTTTTGCATTCCAGTGAATGTCCGTGTCTTAAAATGTATGTTGAATTTATGTGTGTATAAACCAGGGAATCTGACTTTAAAGCACAGTTTTACAACATTTGCCATAGTCATAGCACTTCCAAGCCTTAAACAGGGTGATTCAGACTATTTCTTTTTTTCAGCTGTTCTTTTTCAGCTGTTCTTTGAATTAAGTGAACAGCAATATTAATCCAGCACTTCCGAGACTGCTGGTGCAGCACTTTGTCCGCTTCCTCAGACATGCTCACAGCAATCCCACTGATGGAGTCCTGGAATTGTTTTAACAGCAGACTGCAGTGTGACTTAAGATGTCTTTTTGGAAGAGGGTTGTATTTTTTCATCTCTAAACAGTTAGTTTCTAAACTGGGATTCTGTTCCAGTGGAGTGGTCTTTTGGGATCTTTCATACACAGTGGGGAATGCTAAAGGGGACAAACATATTGAGCAGCTGAAAATAAGGTGGAATCTTTCCAAATGAATCCAACAAAAATAAGATGGAAAGCTCCTGCATTCAATTCCTGAAGCAATATTTTCAATGAAAATATGATTTTGTGCTTCTGAATGTGTTTCTCTCCATGCAAAAATTATGGAGCCAGACCTCAGTTTTCACTCATGCAAAGAGCTCCTTGAAGATGTAATTCCAGAAGTATTTAGGGCTCTGCTTACATAACTAAGACCTATTTGTATATGGTTTTGTTTGATATTAAGAAAATTTTTAAAACTTAAGGACTAGAATGTTAATTAAGTTGCAGTTTTACTTTGTTATTGTTTTAATGTTTGATTTCATGAAAAGCAAGCAAAATTAATATTGCAAAATTAATGTTGACTGCAGCACGTTAAAATTTCAGTTTTCATTGATTTTTTAAGTGCCAAGAGAAAGAAAAATGAGGCTTTTTGTTAATTATTTATTATCTTTGTTGTCTTCATGTAATATGCAAACAAAAGCACAGGTCTTTGCTCTGCACAACTTGTAAGCTGAAAAGTACATGGAGAAAACCAAACAGCTGGGAAGTCCCCAGAGAGAAGAAAATGTTAGGAAAGGGCTTGACAGAAACTTCATTCATAATATTAAAATTTTGCTTGTTTGGATTCTGTAGGAGAGTCAGAAAGCAAGTTTTTGATGGATTTGAATTCTTTAGCTATTCCACATACAGATTGTAGCAGAACTACAATTTTAAAATAAGAGAATCTGTGGGATATTCTTCTTCTATGGCAGTTTTCAAGAATGAATATAGGTTGTCTGATAAATAGATCCACCTCAGTAGGTCAAACCCCAAAATCTGTACAGAAGTATGTCCTTTCTAGTGTATGTTCTTGACCCTGTTTTGTACTTTTTCATCTTGACCTCTTGGTGTTTTTCTGTTTCCAATCAGGTATCTAAGCGGCTGTACAGCATGGGCTGTTATGAAATCTCTCTGGGAGATACAATTGGTGTGGGGACGCCTGGAAGTATGAAAAAAATGCTGGAAGCTGTTATGAAAGAAATTCCTTTGAGTGCTCTTGCTGTTCACTGTCATGACACTTATGGCCAGGCCTTAGCCAATATCCTCACAGCCATGCAGGTGACTTGATTTTTCCTTTTATAATATGCAGTAATAGTATTCTTATTTTAATTCAGTGTGCAATGTTAAAAAATCCTGCTATTAAAGAAATCATTAGAAGAGCAAAAAGGCACTCACTAAACTTTCAGAAAATATTCCTCACGCATCAGATTGTCTACTGGTATTAATTGCTGCTGCTTTTACCAGGAAATGTCAAACCTTTTATATTAATTACCTTCAATTCCATACAAAATAACTAAGAAACAGTTATGATTATTACATTTTATTGACATTAGATGAAGAAGGGACATTAAATATTTTTTTTCTGGTATCTCAAGTTCCAGTTTTCTTAGGAACAGCTGTATGTTTGTTTTCCACTAAACTAAAATTTCTGCTTTGTGGGTGTGTCTAAAAATAAAATGGAATAATGCATAATTACATCTTGATTTCAGATGGATGAATCTAAAAGTTTGGTAGTTATGTACACAGAATAGTCTAGATAATTTTATCACTATTCATATGCCTTCATTATTCTTTTTTGTTTATCAGTTATGCCTTCCAAGAAAGATTAGAAACAACTTTATATCTTATTTAATCAGCTTTCAAATCTGTGCCTAAATTATCAGAGTTAATTTCCATAAGAGTTTCAGAATAGGACACAATGCAGAAAACGGACTGCAAGTTCTAATGTAGTTTTTTCTAATGTAGTCAAGATACAGTCTTGAAAAATTGCTTAAAATGCATATGCTTTGCTAAGGAGACCTACTTTTACTAAGGGTTACAGAGTCATTGGCTATTTACAAATTGTGGGCCTTTAATGTTCTACTTTATACTTAATGGTGTCTTCTGTTTGCATGCAATTCAGGCAGTCATTTTGAAGGTCAAAGTTTCCTTTGTCTGACTTGTTATTTTGGCAGAGCTCATATTACGTTTTTTAGCTACAATTGTGTTAACAGTGTTAGTGGCATATGCCACAAGAAGGAACAAGGAAAGTTTCCATGTGGGAATCCACAGGTATTTGATTAAATAGGGAATGACAAAATCTGGTTTTCTTAAGAAAGGTTCTAACTTTTACTCACAGTATTCACTATTCACCCTTACTCACTTTTACTGTTACAAATGTAACATGTATGTACCATGGGATAAATAAATTGCTAATTTCACAGTTAGCTTCAGTTGCAGATGCAATAGCTAAAAGCATATAAACCCCTGAGCATGGGAGGAGTTGGCCATAAAAATACTTGAAGCATTGTTTTTCAAATCCTTCTTTTAAATAATTGCTGTCATGGTGCCTACTAAACACTGAACAATGGCTTTGCTTTGTTAACTCCAGCATTTGTTGGAAGTGATTCTTGTCTCATGTTTACCTCTTGCTATCTTTCCGTTTAGTTCTTAAACCAACTCTGTAAGAGCTAAAGGAAAAAAAAAATCTCTTAGGTACCTAATGTGCAGTTTAGGATAATTAACATGCAAATTCAAGAGAGCAAAAGACTTAAATTCTTATGCAACCTTCTCAGATTTCTGGGAAGGCAAGGGTGCCTGAGACCTACCAGAAAACTTCCCTCTGTTGTCAAGGTCTCCTAAAGTAGATGTCTAAAGGTGCAGTGGTTTTGGCTGAGCTGAACTTGTCATAGAGTCTGCCAAAAGTCCTTGATGAAGCAGGCATTACACAGTCTCTCTGACTGGCTTTGTGCAAGCAGCTCCTTGGCTCACGTAGAAGAAGGTCCCCAGGCTTTTGTATCCTCAAACAGATCCTGCACTTCACAGCATCCTCTCTTGTCTCTGGTCAAAACCCCAAGGCAGTTAGTAGTGAATTATAACTCCTTCTAAAGCAATACTCCTTCTGAAAGAGGGACTCCTAAATTGCAGGTCAGCTGTGTGGTGAAGTGCTAATCAGAGTGCCCAGGTCACTTCTAGTCCCTGCTGTCAACCCTGCCTGTGCTTTCCTTTCTGCCAAGATACAGGAATGGCAGAACACTGGAATAAAAGCCCTTGTCTTCAACTCAGCTGCTGTTTCCTAAACCAAACTCTTCTCAGACACAATTCCTTTCCCTTCCCCATTTATGGGTCTGCGTGACCGACACAATATTTCAGCAAGAGTGAAATGTGTTTGGGGGGTCATAGAAATAATAGGCTACAGTTATTGTTTGAAAACACATTTAAAGAACATTCAGCAGACAAATTACACTCTTCCTAAGACATTGCTGAACAACCCCAGGCTGAGTACTGTTGTATTGTATATTGTGTTTCCTAAGAATTAATGAATGACAGCTGGAAAGCCACAAATCACTCTGCACTAATTCAGGCATTGCTTCGCTGGGAGATCTCCTAGGAGTGGAAAGAGTTGCTAGTAATTCAGTAAGTGATTTTTTATACAGATCACATGGTTTCATGCAGGATTATACTACCCAGAATATTTTCTTTCATTTGGGGCTGATCCAAAGTCATCTAGAACTGACAGGCCGTATCTGTATAAGAAATTAGGAGGGCAGTAGTCTTGCAATTTTAGTATTCAGTTTTATATGTGTTGTTTTAGCAAAAGGATAGGTAGTGAAAGATGGGAGAGAGATTAGCCAACTTTTAAAGTATAAGTAATTTTTTTAATTGCCGAAGCAAATGATACAGATAGAAAGGAAATTCACTTCATTTTATGAAAATAATCTGTGTAAAAATGTGAGTAACATGAAGTGATGCTTCAAAAGAAACCAGTAAACATTTAAAGTAGAAACATGACTGGCTCTTGGTTACATGGCTTAATATAAAACTACCAGAGTATAGAATTTACTAAAAAGACAATTCAGAAGATGGAAAATGATGTAAAGATCTAGTTAGAGGTTATGGTATTTTGAGTAAAATTACTGTATAGAATTTACTAAAAAGACTAAAATTCAGAAGATGGGAAATGATGTAAAGATCTAGTTAGAGGTTATGGTATTTTGAGTAAAATTACATGTGTGCATTAGATAATGTGACAAACACATAGTGTAGCTAACATAAATAGTAAAACATTTATAGGAAATTGTTACAGACCTCCAAGGAAGGCTAAAAAGATGGGTCAGGAAACTTCTTTCAGGAGAGGCCCTGCTAAGGTGGGCCTTACCTTATTTAAGATCGAAGGAGATTTGAGTTTCATTGACAATTGACTTCTGTTGTGTGTACAGAAGGGGTGTGGAAAGGAAAGTGTTTAATGGAAGTGTTAAAGAACTCTTTTCCTGTAAAACTTGTGTCGTTACCAGACATAGATTTGTCTGTCTTTATAACATATATTCAAACAAGAGAAAGAGTATGCTAAGAGGCAAAGAGGATATTTGTCTGGCTGTGATACCTGAATAAAGGAAACAACCACATGATTGTCCCATAGAATTTTATCAAATACAAATTGCTATTCTAATTCATTAAAATGAACTGATCCCTACACTATGAGGATCAAATTCTAACTTAAAGAAAACACTTATAAAACCCTAATGACTTAGAAAGACCAAGGATTTTTATCACCTCGTGTAATCATGTTCACCCCATTGGACACAGAGAGATGAATGAGATTGATTACATGCTAAATGAAACTTCATTTTATGAGTTCTGTCTTTTTCCAGAAAAAGGATTTTTTAATGTAAAATCCCCACTTTGGTACCAAAACCAGAATTTATCAAGCCTTTAATTAAACTTTCAAGGTTCAGACTGCAAGATCCAGATTTGAGAGTACACAAGTTTTTATTACAAACGTAATATTCCCCCTTTTAGAGAGCTTACAATATTTAATAACATTTTATTAATTTCTTTAAGATCCTTGCATTTTAAAGATGAAATAAACTTAAGAGAAAAGTAAATCCAAATAAAAATGGCTGACTGCTGACCTTTTCCCTTCATCACTTAACTAAATTGATTCTAGTCTCTTGCTGTATGCTAGAGACCCTAACTAAACTGCATATTTTTGTGCATCCAGTTTCCTTGTGTTGTAAAATCATCTAGGTTCACTCAAAGGTGCTCAGTATTGGCCTGGCTGTTTTAACTGCCAGAGACAGGAGAGGAATCTGAAAGTAGGTGCTGAAGTTCATGGTTTATTAATTTACAAGGACCATTTTTTACAGGAATAGAGCTTACAACAGCCAGCAGCATGAAATGGTAGAGCCTAAGTTAAGCAGCTAAAAAAGCCCTGTGTTTAAAATTCCCTCTTCCCTGATTTACATGAACTTCCATGCAAAACAGTGGATGAGTTTAATTTTCCACTTAAAATGGTCTCCTGGATGTATCTGTCCATCTTGTCCTTTTTTCTTTTTTTTTTTTTTTTTTCAAATGTAGGACTTGTTTTTTATAGCTGTTGAGCTTGCTTGAAGTCACAAGCTGTCATGGCCCCCTTCAGGTGCAGGTTAGAGGCCAACTTGCTGCTGAGATCTCCTGTCCAGGAGCAGCTTGCTGCTGAGGATCCTCAGTGCAGGCTCCCTCTCCATCTGGCAGTGGCATTAAACCTGAAGCTCTGGTGCTTGGCCCTTGCCCGAGCTACTCTGCAGCAGCATTGCAATTGCACTTGTGCCATCTGGTACCTCCCTGATTCTCATCCTCATCCTCACCTGCTGGCTTGACTTACTGGCTTACCCTCAGACCTGGCTGATCTCATCTGATCCTGGTTATTGTGTCCAGACCTGATTCCAGTTTTGAATCTCTGATTTGGCCTCATGGCTTTGGTTTTCTGGTGATGTTGCTGCCACTGCCTTCTTGGCTATGACTCTGGACTCCTTGCTTGCCTTCTTCTATGGAGTCATCTGTCCTTGCTGCTTTTTAGGACAGACAAGTCTTCAGAGAAGGGATTGGCAACCAATACCTTGAGCTTTAAGGATGGCTTTTAATGGCAGGTGGTGCTGAGTGGGTGCTGAGAGTTGGCAGGTCTCATGTGCTTTGGTCTTGGAGCTGAGCTGGAGGCTTTGTCTTGCAGAGGCAAGACACTCCTACTCAGTTAAATTCAGAAAGCATTTCCTGGTGTCTGGGTATACTCAAATCCCTAACAGTTCTCTACTTGGAGCTCT